AATAATAATAATAATAATAATAATAATAATAATAATAATAATATAATATTAATAATAATATAATATTAATAATATTAATAATAATGATAATATAATATTAATAATAATAATATTATTATATTATAATTTTATGAAAATAATAATAATAGTAACAATATCATTATTATTATTATTATTTTTATTATTAGCAGTAATAATAACAATAGTAATGATAGTAATGATAGTAATACTGCAATTTTTTCAAATATTCACTTTAAAAAATCGATGTATTTTGAAGACATCTAAATTGATTTTTAAAAAGTTTGTTATTTCATGCTTCATTTATATAAAGTATTTTAGAATTTTGTGGTTCTTTTTTTAGTAGCCATTTTTTGTTGTTAATATGCATTCTTATTGTTTGAAATCAACTTTATTGGAAGAATCAATGCTTATTATCTTTTTTTAATGAGAATTTTTAGCAAACTTTCTATTTTTTAAGCAATTAAAAACTTTTATTGCCTTAATTTTATGAAAATTATAAGAAGTGATAATAATAGAATTGGAACTTTTCATCACAATGCATTTTGTATATCAAAATTTTAAAATGCGAGTGTGCTCAAAATAAAATGAATTTCCTCAAACTTTTTACTTTTAACACTTTATCGGTATATTTTTAAATGCCACAACTCAAAACTGTTTCAATTTTAATTTTCTTTTATCAAAATAAACAGCAATAATGCGGTAGAATTTTGAAAATAAGTGGTGTAGATTATTCATTAAAGCTATCACTTTCTTATGCTTTTTTTTGGAAGTTATACAAATTAAATGAAATTGTTCACCATAAATGTTAAAAGTTTTCAGCTAATTATTGCTACGCAAGTAGTATTTTGTTAATTAGTGAATTAAGTGCTCTTCAACTTGCACTTTCCATATAATTGTTCAAACTCTTTTCATTAATTTTATAAAAAATGCTAGGCTTAATTTATCATCACAAAAATAAATAAATAAAGTTGCAAATCAAATGTAAAGAGACATTTCAGATGGAAATTGCTGAGATAAATCTAGGAGGAAAAACCTGAGCAAATTCTGCATTTTGCCTTTGCATAATTGAGAATGCTTCAACAACCCGTATCACGTCAACTACGCTCCTTTCAATCTTTATCTCGTTTTTCTGAAAATCGGGGATTACTGAACAGGCGTTTATCAACTTTTAATACACGAAATTATTCACAAGCAAGGCGTAAAATTGCTGAAGCTTTCGAAAATGAATCTCAGGCATTATTTTATCGATTTACCATTTCAAGATTTAAAAAAAAAATGAAGATGAAAAAATGAATTGCAACCACTTTTAATGTATTTTGACCAGAAATTTTTTTCTTTAAACTTTAGATAGAAAAATTGTTGAAGTAGAATATGGAGCAGAAAAATTTCAAAGTTAAGAAGTTAGAGGTACTATTTAATGGAGTATATTTTTAGTAAGAATTATTTTTAATATCAAAAATTTTAAAGAATAGTTTCATATGAATCGAGCTTAAAGTGGATGTTATTTTTGATTTAAAGCATTATTTCAGATGCTGTCCTCATTGGGACCTGGTCCATCTACGGAATATACTAGTTTTTTGCCTCAGACAAGTAAAGAAGTATCATTGCCCATGGAAGTCAATCTATTTAGACCATGGAAAGAAAGTATTTCAGAACCAAAATATCAGAAACAAACTCAAGCTCTTTGGGATAATGAAGGAGATATTATTGATGAAGAATGCAATTTGCGTTATCCTGGGTATCAGTTTACTGAAGAATTTATTATTACACGTTACTGATTTACTTTTTTAAAATTGAAGATACTGAAAATGCTATTTATTGCAGTTTTTGATGTTCGTTTGATCAAGGCTTTTAGCAAAAAAAAAAAAGCAGTGAAGATTGATGTAGAAATCATACTGTTAAAATTATTACTTTCCTTCTTTTAGCACAAATCAAGAAATCAACAGTATTTTGATGTAAACAAAGTTTTCAATTTATCAAAACTTCTCTTTTTAAGTTTTTAATCATCGATGGTTGTTAAAGATGTACTAAACTTGAAAATGTCGTATGCTAATACTCGATAATATTGAATTCAGATTCACAGAACCTGCACTGCATTGCTTACATCAGGCTGTACCACCACGTTCATGGGCTTTAAGAATTGTAATGAATCCGTGGTTTGACAGAATAACGATGCTTGTTATTTTGATTAATTGTGTAACACTTGGAATGTATCGACCATGTGAAGACAACAATAATTGTACAACTTATCGCTGCTATATTCTCTCTATCACTGATCATGCTATTTTTGCATATTTTGCTTGTGAAATGGTTTGTATTAATCAATTTTAACTTTTTTTATTTTTTCTAATTATATAAATCTAAAAAAAATCATATATTAGATTTTTGGTTTAAATTTCACAAAAAGCGTAAAATTATGTATGAAACCAACAGACTGTAGTAAGTTAGAAAAGAAATGATTAAAAAATTTTAGATTTATTAATTTCAGATTATTAAAATAGTCGCTCTTGGGTTTTACGGCTCAACTGCATATCTTTCCGATACTTGGAATCGTCTTGATTTTTTCATTGTTTGTGCTGGGTATCTTTTCTTATATTTCAAAAACGTAAATGAAATGAATTTTTGTCAAGTTTATATTCAACTGAACTACGCCATGATATTATTGAGAAGAATTTCTTGAATTTTTGCAAAAAATTAATGAATACTAGATTAAAAAGCTCAATGCATTAAGTATGAACAATTAAAGTTGTAATTACTCATAAATTTGAGCTTAATTCAAAATATTTCAAGGTATAACAATTGTGAGTTAAATTTCAGCAGTGCAGAGTATTTATTGCAAGAATATTTGGGTAATATAAATTTAACAGCTATAAGAACAGTTCGTGTACTTCGTCCATTACGAGCTGTCAATAGAATACCATCTATGAGGATTCTTGGCTAGTATCAATGATTTTTTTGAAGTATTCAAACTAATTTTATGGAAATTTATACGATGTCAGTTTTGATAGCTAGCGTAATCTACGCGTATTAGTTTGAGATGATTAATTTTGCCATTTTGAGATAAATTACTTGAAATTACTTTTTGCTGACTATTTTTTTTTGTTTTAGTTAATCTATTACTCGATACATTACCAATGCTTGGCAATGTATTGCTATTGTGTTTCTTTGTATTTTTCATATTTGGTATTGTTGGTGTGCAATTATGGGCTGGTCTGCTCAGGTATCTTTAAATTCCTTTTAAGTTTTAAGATTTTAATTCGAATTTCAATTAATAATTGCTCAATTGAAGAACTAGCTAAAAGTTCAAAAAGTGAACTTATTAAAAATTTAGTATTTATACTATTCTCAAAATTTTTATTTTTTAAGGCCTATATATGTTTTAAATCTATATAATAATAATTCTAAGAAATTCAGTGTTTGGATTTGTGAATAAAAAAGCATATTTTCAGGAATCGTTGCGTAATTAATTTACCAAAAACAAATATTGATATCGATATATCAGATATATCACTGGCACGGTATAATTTCACTTTTTTTTCGAATGATTTCAGAAGAAAAGGCAAATTAAAGTTATAATGTATTCTACTCGAATAAATTATTTTACTGTAGAACTAAAATTAAACTGCAGTTACTTTGCTTCTGAAACAAAATTTAAAAACTTACAGTGAAATAACTCATTATGATTTGTCCTTTACATGGAACTAGCTTTTTGCAGTACTTGTAATACTTGATGGATTTATAATTAATTTAATTTTTGTAGTTTTATTTTTATGTGAAGCTACCATACAATGTTGAAGTGAGATACAGTTATCTTGAAATGCAATAAGTAGTTTGTTGCTACAGATATTATATACCTGAGGACACCTCATTAGAGTATATCTGTAGTCAGGCAGATTCATCTGGTCTCCATACATGCAACAATCTACCTCTTTATACAAACAATGGAGTTAAGTAAGTATTCATCTTAATTTAGCATTTGTTTTTTCAGTTTAGTCTAAGAAACGTTTTTCGAAATTAGATCATTGAAGTATTAGTAGTAATATTTTTTACTGAAAATAAATTATCACCAATTTCTTTATAAATACAGCATTTAAATTTTTTGGTACTTTTTTTCAGTTCATTCAGTGATTGTTGAATTAAAATATTGTGCTTTGATATGAATAAAACTATTTTTTAGATGTAATTTAACAATAGCTGAATGGGAGAAAGCAGTAAACAACTCTGCAGCTTGTATTAATTGGAATGCTTATTATAACGAATGTAAAGTTATGCATCGAAATCCATTTCAAGGATCAATTTCATTTGATAATATTGGCTTTGCATGGATTGCTATCTTCTTGGTATTAATTGTTTTTAAAATCCATTTATTTAATTAAAAGCTTAGAATACGTTTTGACTTTTTTTAATCGTAGTAATTTTTGTAAATAATTTCAAAAATTTTTGGTTTGTTTTGTAGTTTCTAGTCTTTTGTAAGTTTTTCATTTATTTGCCAAGTCTTTTCAAAAATTAAAATAATTTAAAATTTACTTTTAATTATGCTCCACATAGGTTATAAGCTTGGAAGGATGGACGGATATTATGTATTATGTTCAAGATGCGCATTCATTTTGGAATTGGATATATTTTGTACTGCTGATTATTGTGAGTAATTTTCTCTGTATTTCCAATAATTTTTCTTCACAAATATTAACATTATATTCACCTTACATATTTTCAATATTTGATTACAAAATATTCAGTTTTTAATTTGTAATATATCTTGCTTACGTTAAATTTATATTCAGTTTAAAATTAAGTTTAAACTGCAGATAGGAGCATTTTTTATGATCAATCTGTGCTTGGTTGTGATTGCAACAC